AAACTCCAAAAGGACACCAAAGAACCAAATGATATAAGGAGCCCATATAAGCACATATGAAAGAAAAAAAAATCAGAATTTTATAGTATGTGTACAGTGCAACAGCAAAGAGCTTTTTAAAATTTTAGAGAAGCCAAGTTGCGATACCGGTGCCTGTGCATAAATACAATGTGCGATCAGTGCGTCAAGAGCTCATACACGTATTTATTATAACGGACTCGCGCGTGTTTACTGTACTGTACGACTCCTGTACGCCACCACAATCGTCTTTACCTTGATTGTAGTCTTCATCCATCAAAACTTTACTAGCGAGACTGGTAATCCAGTCGCGTCTCATCTGGCCATACAGTGGTGGGATGTGTTGACAATCCGTTCAGTCTGTACTTCACACAGCACGTGTGACGGCTCGCGCTCTTCAGAGACAATCACAGAATATGACAGAGCTCGTGTTTAAAAGCGAAACACACTGGAATTAATAATTCACTGAAAACGCAACGCGAGTCTCTGTTCTCTCTGCAATCTCTGATGTAATCAGCCTGGTTTCCTTTATATTAGCGCTGTTTTGGACGGAATATTTGAATGCATTCGCTTACTGGATCATTGGACTGAAAAATTTCCCGGAGTTTAGCAGTTTAAAATTATCTGATCGCAAGCAGAGAAGCAAAATTGGGTTAAAGGGTTAGAATAGAGATTGTGCTTTAGTAATTTTGCGTTAAGGATTGTAAAATTAATCGCATGCGTTAACGCATTAACGATCACACACACACACACACACACACACACACACACACACATTTCTTTTCAATTAAAATCTATATGTATTAATAAATGTAAGAAATCATATGTATAATTTTAAAAGAAAATAAACTGTTTATATTTACAAAAAATGCTTTTTTATATTTTAGAAATTATATATATATATATATATATATATATATATATATATAACAAATATGTGTATGTGCATTGATAAACCAAAAATCTAAATGTAAGAAATTCAATATTAAATTTCTTACAAGTTATTAATTTTTAAATTAAATATAAATTTTTTTTGTTTGTTTTATTAATTAATCTAATAAATTATATATTTGAATCACAAACCTAAAATATTACAAATGCAAA